TCTAAGAAACAGTCTCCATCCTCTGATTCCAGATTCTTAAATGTGAATATTTTCTATATTTCTTTCCTCCTTTTTGACGGTAAACTGATTATATCTGGACAAAACAAGACTTTTGAGGACATCTTATTGTGCTTTGGAAAACATTTGAAGATATTCTTTTGGCAATTAAAACAACAAGAACTAATCAATTAATCAGTCATGTTTAAGAACAAATGTCTAAATTCTGTAACTCAAGCTTCTCAAACATGAATATTTTCTGGTTTCTTTCCTCCTCTGCAACAGAAAACTGAATATTTGGACAAAACAAGACATTTGAAGTCATCACCCTGCTTTTGGATCAATATTTTTTAACATTTTCTGACAATTAATCAAATAATTAAGATTATAATCGAGGGAAAATATTCATTAATTGCAGCCTGTTTGGTGCATAAATTGCGTAATATTTCACTTTTGATGTCTTCAAACACACCTTCAGATTGTTTATTTAGTTCAAACAAATAAAAACTGTAAATCTTCACATTTGAGAAGCTGAAACTAAAGCTGGAAATACTCATGAACTATCAGATTGACATTATAATGAATAAATGCTTCATCAGTTTAAGTAATTTTATAAAGAAAAAAAGTCTAAATTCAGTGATTGCAGCTTCTACAATGTAATTTCTGGTCTCTTTTCGACAAAACAAGACATTTGCGGCTGACATTTTACAGACAAAGCAGCAGCTGCGGCTCTGATAGCATCATTCCCAAACCTCCACCGGATATTTGAAGCAACATCTTACAATGAGCATTTCTGTTTCTACACTTTTAAACGTTTGATTTAGTTTAGCGGTTTTGAAAGGCACTGGGGACGTCAGATTAGAAAACAAGCTGTGTTCTGGGCAAACTGCACACAGGAAGGTTGCAGTTTGTGCAGAGAAAGTGAAATGAATACAGGACGCAAACAGAAATGCCACGTGTCCGTCATGTTTTACACGGTTTGAGGTGATTATGTCAACTTCTTGTACTCTCTTCCTCTGTAATGCTGATATTTTCTTTAAACTGGGTTCAAACTTTCAATCACTTGGATGGACTCAAACAATCACGTTTAGACCAAACATGAAGTAATAATTCACATGTATAAGTCAATGTTGACTCGTTCCGACCTCAGAAGACTTTTACTAGCATTCCAATTAGTTTGTTTTATTGTCGGTATCGTACATGACTTTGTTTATAGTGTATTTTATTCACTGTACTTTAATTTTCTGCATCGTATTTGCGTGTAGTTTTCTATTTATTTAACCCATTCTTGTGATATCTGTTGAAAACTTTCAGGGACTTTCTTTAAATTTGGCACAAACGTCCACTTGGAGTCGAATTCTGTGTCTTTTTTTCAACACTTTTCCTCGACTTCACTGGAAAAGGTGTGAGGATCGGAGTGTACGTAGACACTCGTGGGAAGTTATAATGCTGAGTTGTTTTAAAGAAGTATTGATTGAACTGTATGATTGGATTTAGAGCTTTTACAATATCAGGTTTTCACAATCATTGATGCTCTTAGTTTGGATCATTCATTATATTTTCAGTACAACACAATTCAGTAACAGCACAAGTTCCAAAATCACACCGTAAAGCAACTAAATCTACTTCAGGACGGTTGTGTTTGGGCTGCAAGGTGGATCGGTGGTTAGAAGGTCGCCAGTTCGCGTCCTGGTTTTGGGATTTTGCAGCCTGGGTTCTCTGGCTTCCTCCCACAGTTCAAAAACATGCTGAGGTTAATTGGTGATTCTAAATTGTCTGTAGGTGTGAATGTGAGTGTGCTTGGTTGTCTGTCTCTAAGTGTAGCCCTGTGATAGACTGGTGACCTGTCTAGGGTGTTGCCTGGGATAGACTCCAGCCCACCACGACCCCAGTGAGGATTAAGCGGTGTATATTCTTTGCTAAAGGAAGCATTTCTCGTCAGCATGTATGAGCTGGGGCTGCAAGGTGGCGCAGTTGGTAGCACTGTTGCCTCGCAGCAAGAAGGTCGCCAGTTCGCGTCCCGGTGGGGGCACCGGAATCTTTCTGCGTGGAGTTTGCACGTTCTCTCCAGGTTCTCCAGCTTCCTCCCACACAGTCCAAAAACATGTTGAGGTTAATTGGTTATTCTAAATTGTCTGTAGGTGTGAATGTGAGTGTGCTTGGTTGTCTGTCTCTAAGTGTGGCCCTGTGATAGACTGGCGACCTGTCCAGGGTGTCTCCTGCCTTCACCCTGAGTCAGCTGGGATAGACTCCAGCCCCCCCGCGACCCTAATGAGGATTAAACGGTGTATAGATAATGGATGGATGGATGTATGAGCTGTTGTCATGACTTCCGCGTAGATATTTGTGGGTCATTTCGCTCAGTGAGGGGAAAAAAAAGGCTATTCCACTGCAAAACATGTAAACAGGCTCCACTTTGAACAGATTAACTCTGCAGCGCTATGAAGCAGATTAAACAGGTTAGTGAGGTATGTTGAACACCGCCAAGGTGCCACTGTTGGACCCTTGATCAAAACCCTGAACCCTAGACAAAAGTTTCCGAAATAACAAATAATAAATGAATAAAGCCCAAGCTTCCAGTTACAGTTGGTGATGCAGAAATACATTAATATATTTATATGGTCTCATTTGCTGCAAAGTCCACTTTAATAAGACACAGGATAGAGCACAGACTGCCTGGAGTTCAGAGCGTCTAGGAACCAAGTCCACTTCTTTACACCAACACCTGCACGCCTGGTGAAAGGTCAGGTGTTTTCAGGCGTGTTTGAGCTCTCAAACTCAGCCTTAAAATGGAAACATGTTCGTGTGAGTGCAGCCTCAGATCCGGTGACTTTACATATTGATGACGGATGTCGTTGCCCAGTTTGTCTGACCTGACTGTAATGTGTTGGGTTTAGCTGCTGGAGTAAAACTCCCTGCAGGGATCTCACAAAAAAAACATCTTAAACTTGATAAAGTGTTGTGTGAGTGCAATTTATAAAAGCCGATAAGAACATTTTAGAAAAAAAATCAATATCTGAGACATCAAATCCAGTTTTTCTGTGACACACATTGATTATTTTTACTCTCAGAAGTGACAAAGTTATTACCTTCTGAAGCAAAACATTAAGTGTGAAATTTAATTCCCGGCTGCGATTCCACCTTAAATGTAAGGTGTGACAGAAGCCACCAAATCTCAACTACAAACTTATATCCTTTATGGATCAATAAACATACAAACTCTTTACATTAGGAGGGAAACATACATCACTTCTGACAGGGAAAGTACATCGAAACTCACTTTTTCCTCCTCTTCTGCTTCACCCCCCACAGTCCCCATCAGGATTCACTTTTTCTGGAATACATCATAAAACTTTAAACAGATTTAAACTTAGATATTTTTTTCTGTGAAGCTGTGGGGAATTATTTTTCAGGGAGCCCATTTCACAGAAGTCGGGCTCTCAGGTTCGCCTCAGTCAGTGGCTCAACTCCTAAAACCACAGATGCAAAACTGTTTCAGCAAAGTTTACCTTCAAAATAGCAGCTTTATACATTATTCATTAGATCTGAGTGAAAAATAACGATCTGCCACCTTTGGTTGAAACAAACCTGCCTTATAACTTTTAAGCCGGCGATTGATGATGAGATTTTCGAAGCGCCTCTGAATGTCTTTGTGCAGCGTTTATCACTCACTGCACAGCTTTCACTTGTCTTATGGGCCGGATTCAGTTTCATTTGTATTCGGCGGTGCACTTTGATCCACATTCACTGATGCAGTTTCATTTCAGATGCACTAAAACATGCTGCTCGCTTTGTTGTAGTCCTTGCTGAGGTGCTGGGCGGCACTTTGAGGTACTCCATGGGCGTCCTCCTGGTGGATTTGATGCCGTACATGACGTATGTGGTGACCATGAAGAACCAGCAGAATGTGGCCACACATGAAGACGTCCTTAGGGAGACTGCTTAGGGGGTTGTTTGAAAGATCCATAGGGTTTTTGAGATTCCCTGAAAAACATGAAATGCCACGCTCAAGGGCATTTTGAAGTAAGTCTTGGAGATGGCAAGGGTCTGTCAGGCCCTCTTTGGGACATTCCTGACCCAGTTCAACAACAGCAATGGAGAACCAGCAGGGTGAGGCCACAAACCCAGGCATACAGCTTGGCAAGGTGTCCTCAGGAGGCTGCTGAGGTGGCCGTTTAAAAGCTCCACAGGGTTACGAAGACTCCCAGAAAGAATTCAAACTCCACCCTCTGGAGAACATTGTGATATGATTCCTGGATGCAATGGAGGTCCATGAAGGCCTCCTTTAAGATTTGTTGGGTCTAATTCAATGGGAGTAGAAGAACCACAGTGTCCTTGGTCAGGTTAGACGCACTAAAACATGCTGCTTGCTATGTTGTTGTCCTTTCTGATGTGTGAGACGCTGGGCAGCGACTTGAGTTTCTACATGTCTGTCCTCCTGGTTGTTTTTGATGCCTGTATGTGGTGACCGTGGTAAGAACTAGAAGATCATGGCCACAAACCCAGGTGTGCAGCTTGGCGAATGCTGCTGGGGTGGTTCTTTAAAACATCTTAGCCTGCAAGGCTTCCAAGATTTCCTGAAAGTTGTTGACCTCTACACTTTCTAGGGTCTTGTAGGGTGAAGCCAATGAAGGTCCATGAAGGCCTCCATTGTGATGTGCAGGGTCCAGTTCAACCGCAAAAGGAGAACCACAGTGTCCTTGAATAAGTTTGACGCATTAAAACATGCTGCTCGCCGTACTGTGTTCCTTGCTGATGTGGAAAGTGCTAAGCAGGGACTTGAGGTACTTCTTGTTCGTCCTCCTGGTGGTGTTTGACGTCGTAAATGATGTATGTGGTGACCGTGAAGAACCGGAAGACCCTTTGGCATGAGGTGGCTTCCGGAATTCCCTGCAAGGCACCAACCTCCAGGCTCCTGATGGATGGAGGTGGAGGTCCATGAAGGCCTCTTTTGGGATGTGTAGGGTTCGGTTCAAAGACAGCAGTAGCGCTACAGTATCCTGCTAAAACACGCTACTAGCCGTGTCGAAGTCCTTACTGATGTGCGAGGTGCTGGGCAGCGACTTAAGGTACTCCATGTGCCGCCTGGCGTCTTCCTGGTTGTGTTTGATGTAATAAATAATGTACGCCGTCACCATGGAGAACCAGCAGAACATGGCCACGAACATGGCCACGTCCGTCGTCTTGTGGTGGAAGTTGCAGAAGTTGATCCCCGAGTCCAGGACCTGGATCACCGGCTGCCCCACATACTCCTCCTGCACAGACGTGAAACAGTTGACCTCATTGACGGTCTCGGGGTCGAGCCTCAGCTCCCGAAGCACTTCCTGCAGCGAGCACTCGCAGTGCCAGGGGTTGTGGGAGAGGCGGACCCGGGCATGCAGCTTGGTGAAGGTGTCCTTCGGGAGGCTGCTGAGGTGGTTGTTTGACAGATCTAAGGTCCGCAGGGCATCTGAGATTCCCTGAAAGGCACCGACCTCCACGCTCTCGATGGCGTTTTGAGATAAGTCCAGCTCCCGGAGGCGGTGGAGGTCCGTGAAGGCCTCCCTCGGGACGTGCCTGATCCGGTTGGACGACAGCAGGAGAACCACAGTGTCTTTGGGCAGGTTGGACGGGATGCTCTCCAGGTTGCGAGAAGTGCACTGCACTACCATGCCATTCCTGTCAGAGCAGTGACAGATCTTTGGGCAGGCATGCGTGGTCATAATCATGGACAGGAGCAGAACAAAGGAAAGAGAAGCACAGCACAGAGGTTTTATGGAGGACCTGCAGCTTCCAGAGGCCCCCATTAGCGGGCGTTGAGGCTGAAAACGTTGTTTCTGGTGACGGTGTGCTGCTTAAGATACTGATGAGACATGAAAAACAATCCAGGAGGTCCACACTCTAAAAAGTAATTCAGGGGCCTACTCCTACAACCTAATTAAAATTCATAACGATTTAGGTAAACCTTTAAGTTGCGGTCATTATTCTGATGGCTGACATAATAAAGTTGCACCAATTTAACATTTTGTGTAATTTAAACTTCAGTTTCTGCATTAGTTGATTTAAAACTCAATTCAGGTTGAGGTAGCTTAAAGAAATGAGCTTCATAACGTGATTCTTCTTCACCTTGAGTTGAGGATTTCTACTAAACAAGACAACACTTTCAGACTGTTAAGACTGTGTGTTTTAATGGACCTGTAGACTAAACAAATATATACGTTTTTCAGATTAATTGCAATAAAGTAATGAACTTGGGATTATTTTCAGTTGTGATATGACCCACAGCGGGCTTGTGATAGAGTTGATGGGATGTGTTGTAAAGCTGGACGAGCCAATGTTTGTCATATTTAGCAGTGAACTTTGGCCGTCCTACTCTTTAGTTTAGCAACGAGTGGAACCATAAAGTTTAATTTTACGAATCTGCTCAGCCACAGGGGACTGTTGGTGCAGATTTAATAACTATTTGAGACATTTGAATTGGTGCTATTTTTGCTTTTATGATTTAAGCTTGCATTTCAAAATGAAGAAAGCTAATGACCAACATCTTTTTGTTGAACTAATTAACCTCGTAAAAGTTACAACATGAACAAAACGTGAAAAAGCCAAAAATGCAACTGGAGCTGATGTTTTTAACTTTTAAATAATACATAACTTTTAAATGTTTGTCAACTTAAAAGCTTGTGTTCTTGATTTTCCCAGTTAAATATGTAGCACAGAACAATTCCTTTTTAATAATGTAGAGAAACTAGTTGGATAAACCTAATTTTTATGAAGAATCAATTTAAAAACTTGTGTTTATAATAATTCTAATAAAATACATACACAGAGAGCTCTTTTTGTAATAACACGGACAACTTAACTTAATTTTTTATGCGTTTTGAACTTTAAATTGTGTGTTTTTGCTGCTAATCATTAAGTTAACTCACTGTAGTTAGTTGGTTGGACATAGTTTCCTTACAAGTTGTCTCAGCTTAACAAGATAAACTACTTGTTAAGCCCAAATGCTATTTTTTAGAGTGCACTTTGGGTAAGAAATATGTTAATTTAAACGATCTGCGGTTTATTATAAGGAGCAACAGGATTTTATAGCAATTATTTCATCCCTTTGCTGCAATGACGTTCAAGTTCGACCACAAACGTGTGCTTTCTAATCGGTTGATCTTGTCTTGAGGCGAAAAGTGTCCTCAGTAAGACATGAAATCCAGGAGCTCCAGTTTGGAAAAAAGAAAAATCAGTTCATTTGAAGGCTCAGGATCTTCTTCCCAGATGACTTTGCATGCTGGCTAAAGTTGCAGGACTGGCTTTAATCAAATAAGACAAATCATTTGAGGACATTCTTGAAAAATCCAGCTCAACAGAGGTCCAAAAGTTTGCTCCAAAACGCAGCATCAGATGTGTCCTATGGTCATAAATCCAGGGTCAGAGGGCAGAACTTCTCCGCTGATGGGAAGAAACCTGTGAAACAAAAAGACAGAGAGACTGAAATTAATTAAAAAAACATCCAGGAATGTCTTTGTGTTGTATTTTCCTGCCCGCTGAGACACCCATGCCCTCTCGCAGCCCCGTTTTTCTGTAAAATATCTCCACTCCTGCCTCGTTCCCGACTCCTTTCTCCTTGGAGGAGGGGGGGAGCCGGTAAAGTTCAACATTATCATAATAATGGCGTGTTTCTATAGCTCGACTGGAACTGTGTCCCTGCGAGGAAACGACAAGGCATTAAACAAGGTGTGGAGCTCATCAATATGCAGCAGATGAACTTTGAAAACAGTGATTTGCGATTAAATAAAAAGACGCTGTGTGGTCTATAAGATTAGCGGTGATGTATGTGAGAGCAGTGAAGGTCAAATTAAAACCACGACACGACGCGAGGAACAACCGATAAGCAGGAAAACAGCCGATAGATGTCGTAGAATAGATGTGTCTGCTCAACCTACAATCCTATTAATATTGATAAGCCAAATGTCTCGGAGGCTGTGGCTCGGGTTGAGTATTATGGGAACACTAACAGAGCGGCACAACATAGAGCCGGGTCTCAATAGATAAACTCAATAGGGCTAAAACAAACAGTTAATCGATGAAAGTTCATTTTAAGCCAACATCAACTGTTTCTACGTTCTAGTTTAATTGTAAATGTTAACATCAGAGCTGCTCACAACTATTAAAGCGTCTGTTTGAGTCATTTTATGTCACAAAAAAGTCAAAATCCTCTGTTTCTAGTTTCCTCTTACTGACAGTAAACTGAATATCTTTGTGATCTTACACTCTGATTTGATTTTCCCCCATTTCCTGACATTTTATTAATCAATTGATCAAGATAATAATCAACTGATCAATCGACAGTGAATATAATCGTTCATTAAAGGCTATTTGCTTGATAAATTGTGTGATATTAGACGTTTGGTTGGACAAAAAAAGACGTTAACTATCTTGGGCTTTGGGAAGCACACATTACTCACCGTTTTCTGTCATGTTCATGGTGACAGCTAATCGATTAATCGCATCTGTCCTGAATAAATGGTTCAATTTTACACTTTTGGATGATGACAATGAAACATTTGAGGACGTCATCGCAGTGATCAACCTTTATCGCTACTTTAATTAATCAGGAATTCATCTACAGTGAATATAATCACAAGTAACAACCTATTAGGATAATACATTGTGTATTATTAGACTTTTGGTTAGAAGAAACAACATATTTGTCATCTTGGCCTTTGGAAAACCCGAATTTTTCACCATTTTGTGACGTATTCATGCGAAACAACGAATCGATTAATTGAGTCTACAGTGAATATAATGATGAGTTACAGCCTATTTACTGAATACGTTGTGGAAGATTAGACTTCTGGATGGACAAAACAGTACTTGTGATCTTAGACTTTGGAATAAACTGAGTTTTCACTGTTTTCTGACATTTTACATGTTAAACACTTCAATCGATTAATCGAGAAAACAGTAGGCAAATTATTTGACCTTAAAAGTAATTGGAAGTGACAGACTATTGACTTGAAATAACACACTTGAAGATGTGTACTAAAGATCTGAGAAAGCCTCACATGCAACTGATTGATTAATCTATAAAATAATTACCAGATCGATAGAAGATGGAAATGAAAATGCACTTTCCTCTAAGAATACTATGCGGGGGGAAAAAACCGTCTTCTGAGAACGTTTTCTCACTTCCAGTTAATGAACATTTGTGTTAATTAAATATCCACCTGGTGCCAAAAGTAATTCCAGACAGAAACTGAAACCAGTTCGCTCACTTGGATTCGCTCCTGCGGGATGAAAAATGCGTAAAAGTGAGTTTGTGCTGTTGTCCGGCTCCACACCGACCTGACGCCTCCACTCTGTCCGGTTCGGATCCGCGTTCGGTGCCCGTCCGGGGTTCTTCTGTCGGATGCAGGAGCAGAAATAACCGCTTCATGCTTCTCGGTCCGGTGCGGGAGGAGGATGATGGATCCAGCTGTTGGAGCTCCGGACGGCGCAGCTTTGCAGCAGCGGTGCGTCTGTGCGCCGGTGTGCGTGTGCATGTGCGTGCGTGTCCCGGTTCTTCCTCACAGTCGGTTAAAAAAAAAAAAAAAAAGCTGCACCTGCGAGTCACCGGAAAAAACTGCTGTCATGAACCGTAAAGGCTGAACAGACAGAAAGCAGCAGACACTCAAACTTTATGGACGCATTTAAACCGTCCTCCAGTCTGAGCTGCCAACCGTGTTTCTGTGGGTTTATTATAAATATACTGCAGGCTGGAAGTGTACAGCAAGGCAGAAAATGTAGAAATGGTACTGAAATGAGTAAAACTGAACTTTTAGCCCAATAATAACTGGAGTTCATGTGTTTATATCAGAGGAAAATCTACTTTTTACTGCGTAGTTACCTTAGAAATACACTGTCAAGCATCATAAATGAAATGAGTCACCTGTTCTAGTTTACTTAATAGAAATATGGAGCACACAGTCTTGCTAATCCTATAATATTACTAAAATGATTTTACATTAGATAACAGTTTAGATTAATTATTTTAAAATATCGATCCCACAAAAGTCAGTCCACCGTTCATCACTGATGCTCTCGTCTTTCAATACGTCCTTTGTTTTTGATGACAGACTTGATGCTCTTCAGTCGGACGGATACTAAATTTCTGCTAAGATGCTCTGTCATGGGCTGCAAGGTGGATCAGTGGTTAACATTGTTGCCTCGCAACAAGAAGGTCGTCGGTTCACGCAGTCCAAAAACATGCTGAGGTTAATTGGTCATTCTAAATTGTCCGTAGGTGTGAATGTGACTGTGCTTGGTTGTCTGTCTCTAAGTGTAGCCCTGTGATAGACTGGTTACCTGTCCAGGTGAACCTGCCTTCACCCTGAGTCAGCTGGGATAGACTCCAGCCCCCATGACCCTAGTGAGGATGAAGCGGTGTATAGATAATGGATGGATGTTCTGTCATTCTTCACAGACTCTTCGGCTGCTCTTTGCTTGAGGAGTTGTGTTGCTTTAAAATACAACCAAAGGTGTTTTGTTGGATTCTAGTCAGGACACAAGCTGTCCAGGTTGTAGTTTTCACTTTCGTCTTGTGTTGAAACTCTTGTGTGATTTTGGATCGTCCTCATGCTGGGATATTCCTCTTCTACAGTCTTCTCAGACTGGGAATCATCTTGTCAGACAGTGTTGTGGTTCATCCACAGACATTCGTCTATAAATCTCCCCAACATCTTTTGCACTAATGAACCCCAACATCATCACTCTTCTACCTCTGGGCTTCACTGTCAGGACGATGCATTCACTGTGATAGTCCCGATCAGCTTCACGC